AGAAGAGAGCAAAGTTTTAATCTTAGGAAACAGAAAAATCCATTACAATAGACAGAATTGTGGAATTTGGAGAAGAAATTGTGGTACTAAATTAATCTCCCCAATTTAAGGGATTTTTTTTTTTTTTTTGGTAAGAGCAGGATTATTTTCTTTTAGTCTGTTTAAATGGAATTCAGCTGTACAGTTGAGGCAGGTATGACAGAGGCCTCTTTCAGGATATTTCAGAGTAATATTTATTATTTCCTGATCCTAAAGGAAGAATGGATTTTTCTAGCCCTCTAACCTTACAGAAATTGAGCTTATTTATTAAAGGGTTCAGTTTCCATAGTATTAACACCAGCATGATTTTCTTTCTGTCTCTCTGCCTATCGTAAGCTTGAAGCTCATGATGCATACCTCCCTATCTATAAGAGATTCATTTTGTAGATGTCTTGATTTCATCATATGAGTAAAGCGTGGCTTTACTTTATGGAGCAGCAGTTTAAGGCAGCAGGATGTTTACCCCAGTTTGTTTGACTTACCAAAACATCTTTACAGGAAGATCACAGTGATAGTTCAGACTTGCTTCTAATTTAAAAAGTGAGGCTACTAGGAGAAATAAAAACCTGCAAGTTCTGGATTCAAAGAACTACTTTCAAGGACAAATATTTGTGAAAGTGCTGGCAGTGATGAGGACACGCCTCAAGAAGCTACATCAGGTAGTCTTGTTCCTTAACTCATTGATTGAACTTAGTGTTTTTCCTGGTTATCTTCACATCTTGAACACTGTTTAGTAAATGAAACAATGTTATGTTGCTTTCTTTGGGAACAGTCATCTTACTTCTCATCTAATAGAATGAATGTCACAAGATTTTGAAAGAAAAAATGGTTTGCTTGCCAGCTTCGTTAGCCACAGTGATCTGAGCCATCTTAGTCTTGTGCAGGTGTGTTTGTTTTAGTGATCTTAGTTGTCCATGGATGCTGGAAATCAAGAAATAAACTTGTGCTGAAACTAATATCCCAAGAAGTTGCTATGCAGGTGAAAGAAAACTTAGTTAAGAGCAAAGTCATGCAGAATAAGGTAAATGCTGTGCCCAAAAGAAGGGCAGGCCTGTAAAGAAGCCAGCTATGGAAGGGAACAGTTGCGCTGCGTAACTGGGATCTCTGGCATCATATTCATCCTACAGTCCTGTATCTTGAGTGAAAATAAACTAGTTTTTATCTGTGTAAGAGGCAGAGGTGTTCACAAATACAGCTGGCCATTGAAGGCCTCATCAGTAACAACTGAATGTTTCTGGAGATGTTTGGATATAGTTGCTTGCACCCAGATGTAGTTCACTTTTCCAGAATCGTTACTGAGAACAACACTTATTTCTTTCCAGCTGAAGAGTGCAACTTCATGCTATTTCTTCATTTTTCTTTTGTATGAAATCAAGTTACTATCTTGCACACTCCGAGACAATCAAAATTAGACAAAAGTGATCAACAGAGGCTAACACCAGCTGGCTTTCATCAAGTACCTTTGTGACTGCAAACATAATTCAATAGGATGGGTGCATTTACTACCTGAATATGCTCTCTGCGTTTTTTTAATGTCAGTAAAGACACAGATGGTTCTCAAGCTGTGCATCAGGCATCACCAAGTATTTTTAAAAATGTCAGGACTATGGCTACGGCTCTATTTGCAAGCATATCTGAATTGAATTAGCATCTGATGAATGATCATTTCAGTTACACCAGTGCTATAAATCTGTTCAAACTGGAGTTTCTGTCCCAGCTTTTAGACATGGCAGTGCTTCTTATCAGATGGCACACTGGATATCGAAATGTAGGGAACTAACAAATATTCCACACAAATAACTCGACTTATTTAAGATAGGCTATTTATTCACCCATTTTCTATCTTTTCTCCAATCCCTTATTATGTTTTGGATCTGAGGAAGTGACGGAAACAGAAACATCCAGAGTACCCCATTCTTCTATGGCCTGGTGCTTTGGGAGTCAGGAAGAGCAGAGCAAGCTGTCCAAAGGGCCCTGCTATGACATTTTCACTGTTAGTTTCATATCTGACATGTTTGGTGAGGGAGGATGAGCAGTGTCTCAAAGAATTCTGGTAACAATCAAGCAGTCTTTAGTTCAAATTTTATGAAAATATGGAAAGACAGGTGTAACCAAATAATAGTAGAGGGAGCATTAGAAGGATGCATTGTTTTCACCATTTAGCGGAACTTCCTTATGTTGTCTATATTCCTTGTGTATTTGAAATGTACCTATTTGTCCCAGTGTGCATAATTCTGAAACCTGTTACTCTTTGGTCTGTCAGTGCTGGTGATTCAACAGAAAAATAAGCGTGCTCAAGTAATTATGACCTCCTCTGCTTTTTGTGTTATCAAAACTTGGAGCAGGAGAATTTAGTCTCAGATTAGCTGGCTTGTGCTTCGTCACAGCGGAGGTCTGGTGGGTTCTGTGACACATAGGCTATTTTTCAGTTTATGATCAATATGACTTGGTAAATCAACTGAACATATACAATTTCAGGTTGCATTCTTCACCACCTGGGGAGTTAAGCCCATCGCATCTCTTGAGAAAGTCACCTTCTCCAGCTTTAACTGTAAACTGCAGCAATGTGAGTATGTCACTGCCTGTAAAAATCTAAAAGTAAAAGGTTAATGTCAGCTCAAAGCCTATGTTTTGAACCAAATTACCCTGTCTTGTGTTTTTGTGAGAGAATGTGTAAGGTATTGCCAGTTACCTGGCAGCTATGAAAGTCTTTTGAGAAATGTGACAGCAGCAGAAGTTCCAACCTCATTTACAGGGGCATCAGTTCAAGCCTTAAGGGTCTGTTCCTGAGGCTGAGGACTGCAGTCTCCACTCAATTATTACGATCTCTGCTGAAGCACTACAAATATGCTAAATTTGAGTGTGATTCATGTGGTGAGGACTCTTCTGGATTTGGAATTGCATTAAAACTTTTGTTAAATAACTGTCAGAGAGTGAAAGTTTTTCCACCTGTTCAGTTTGACAATCTAAATAAAATTCCAGTTCTTGTTTTCACTCACTTGAAGACCCTTTTAAAAATCTATACTGTATGTTTGAAATGTTTAAAATTTTTACTTTGAAGGTATTTCAGAAGTCTTCTGAAAATTGATAGAATATGTTGGTTTCCAAACTAGTAGTGCCGGTAGCACCACAAACTATAACTATCATAGTTACTGACCATAGCTGTGGAACAGCTAACATATTTTTTACCTAAGTATATTGTGTGTTGTATATTGTACACTGGATGAACTAACATTTAATTCTCCATCAGCACTTCTTGAATGTAAATGTCTTTCCATTTAAAGACAGTTTATCTTCCCATTGCAATTTTCATTTCCTAACGATACTATTCTACACTAGGGATTGTTTTGGCTTCCTCCCTTTTTTAGGATGACTTCTTCCCTGCCTTACTGCAGGTCTTTCTCCCTAAGAGTTGGTTGACTTATACATACCAAACTCTCTAAATCATGCAGCATCAGGATAACTTCGTTGAATTCATTAAAGGTTTTTCTTTAGTCTGTGCTTTGGTATCCCATTTGTTCATAAAATGCTTTTGTAAAGCATTTCAACTTTATTAATTTCCTAGTAGAACATACACAAGTCAGGCAACCCAAGAAATCTATCCTGCTAAATTGCATGTATGTGTTACATGAAATAAATGAGCGGGGGGGCGGGGGGGAACCCACAGTGTTTTTTTTTTTTCTAATACATTTGGGTTAGGATGACTTCCATCTCTATTGTTGCTAGCCTCATTTTTCCAAAGTGCAAAAAGTAATTTAAAACTACTTAGGTTTTTATCATGATGGTAACAAGATGCAAAATAATAGAAAAGATACAAGTTTGTAATTCATATAGTTCAATGCATATAAAACATGGGAGGTATGAGTGTCTTTTTTTTATCTTTTAGCTAGAATGTGTTGACATTGACAAACATGATGTCACTGGGAATTTGTAGTTTATGGTACTAGACATGGAAAATATATGCCAGTACAATTTGTTGTGCTGGATTTATTTGCTGAATATTGAATTAGACCCTCAATAAAGCAGATGCCATCACTGTGAAGTACCTTTGACAGATGTGTAAGTAACACCTTTTATTTAAGCCAAGTCCAGTGCTCTGTGAACTTGTGAAAAAAAATATTTTTAAATGCACTAGATCTGCCTGTTGATACATATTTTTCATTTATTTATTTCTTAATACTTTGACAGCAATTTATAATGTTTCTATAATGTAATAATTGTGACTAAATTTAGGATTTAATTGTGTCCCTTTTACTACTACTGTTCTTTCAGGTGCCAAATAAAGAGTTGATTCAGTTATGTCCTTCAGAAACAGAAGTTCTAGAGACTTCAGAACAAAACCAGGGTGCTATTCCATTTCCCAATAATGAACCTCTCCTCAGTAAGCTTTATTTCTCTTGTGGATATTTTGGGGGTTGCGGGGAAAGACATTTCTGATAAATGGTGTAATTTTTGAGTGCAGCACTGTACAACCATGTATAAATTGTAAAGAGATTTGGCTGACTGTCTGAAGAGGACTCTTAAAACAGATCTGTTATTGCTCAAGGCAAACAGCAAAATTTGATCAGTGATTGAATCTCATGACAAAAATAACATCCTGTTACAGAAGTTTACCATTCATTCTTGCATGCCACAGTTTTAATTAGGTACTCATTTGCTCTCTCTCCAGAAAAAGAGAGATGGGTAAGGAAAAGTATTTCAGTGCAATGTAAGGGAACTGGTTGTAATTTGTGAACTATTATCCTTTTAGCACTTTAACTCTTTCTTAACTGCAAGCTATGAATACTCAACACAAAGGGTAGTCATGTTTCAGAAAGTGCGTGTTCGAAGGAAGGGAAAGGAAAAAAAATATTTTTTTAAGGCAGCAGTGTGTCTGGATAGAGGATTCCCTGACCCTGTAAGAAGAGAATGCCATTGTATTATTTTTATCATAAGAGGCAAAGTGCTATAAAAGCAATGTTTATGCTTATCCTGTATTTCATGTCTTAGAATTTTTCATTCTCCCTTTATTTCAGTTACTACGCTTTATTTATTTATTTATAACCTATAACACCTTTCCAGTTTAGCTATGAGACTTTTATATTTTAAAAAAAACCCACACAAAGGGGGAAAAAAAAGCTAATCCTCAAATAAAGATTTAGGGAAAAAAAAAAAAAACAACAGCATTTATCCAAGATAATGCAAGGAAATGTTTTTCATTGATATTTGAGCTAAAGCATTTTACCTTACTGTTGTTAAAGGCAAGGGTATAGCCTTGATTTATAGAGCTAACACATAGTAACTGATAAGGTTTCAGTAGTTCATCCAGCATAGTACATCAGATGAGAATTCAGGTACATGATTTTGTTTTCCACTAAGGTGACATAAAGTAGAAAGCAGTTTTCTACTACAGTGGCATGAACTTCACTGCATGGATACAAGTTTTATAAGCAGTTGGAGGTAGCCCAATGGATTGGCAAGACTTAAGTCGACTTAAGTTATGTGTGTCCTTATAGCTGCCTGCAGGCAGCCATTATTTCAATAACTTGGGTGTGTTGGGTTTTTTTTAATGTTTATATGTAAATGTTGCTTTGATTTCAAAGGAAAGTGCTGTTTAAAAACAAATATGTTGTGGAAAGTTACCATATTCTTAATGCTTAGTATTGCATACGTTAATGTTGTAACAATTTTATAGGTGGTAATCCTCAGCTGGACTTTGATGCAATATGTGAAAATGATGACACTGCTATGACGGCTCTTATGAATTACTTGGAAGCTGATGGAGGACTTGGGGATCCAGCTGAACTCAGTGATATACAGTGGGCTCTCTAGTTTTGCTTTTTCAAAATAAGAAGGAATGTAAAATCAGTAATGCACAACAACCGTACATCCTCAGTACTGTATTATAATTTTTTTAATGTTTCATTTGAATTCATACTTGCTATCTATATATTTTTAAAGACTGAAGCCTTGTTCAGAGAGGGACAGATTCTGCTGCACCTATGGAAAAATGCAATATTTTTTTCATGATAGGGAAACCTTGAAATTTTAATATTGAACCATCTGTAACTGGAAAGCTTAAAACACATGACTATATTTTTGCTAAGAAGCTTTAACCAAAAGGTACTGTACAATGTACAGGAATATTTTTTTCTTAGTTTTAATACTTAAACTTTTATTTATTGTTTTTGTTCCAAATGGTAGAATATTGATTTTCCATGTTACTTTCTGTAGAACCTTCTGTACTTACATAGTTTAAGAATATTTGTAACTATTCAATTTCATTGAAGTGATGATTTGCACACACTACAGTTGTAAAATAAGGTATTGTAATTCTCAAATGATGCAGTTTGTGATTCCTTACCCTTTTCAGAAGTGCAATTTTTGTAGTCAAAAGTGAAAACAAAGCATACAGTTCTGGGAACAACAATTTGAATTAGATCACCGTAACAATCAGAAGAGAATGTTTTGAGAAAAAGTCACTTCCCCAGTGCACAAATATGATAAGGGTATAAGAAAAGAGCAACGAAATCTTAATTTACTATTTTGTATTATTTGTAATGTATTAGTAGAGGGGCAGTGCATAGAACCTAAGAAAAGTAATGCTATAGCTGTAATAAAGCAATTTGGTCTCATCACAGGTTATTTATGAACTAGAGAAGCTGGGATAGATTGTCTTTGGTTCCAGAGTGAGGCTTGCACTGTCTATTAGAGAAAAAATGTTAAAATTCTATAGTATCTTTTATAGTCTCTATGTTTTTGGAGATAGTAGGGTGATTTTTCTATTGCTTGAGTCTGTGACTTTTTAAAACGTTTGTGTAATATAGTGCTGTCTGTAAGTCAATGCTATATAGGGTGATTTTTTGGGGGGATGGCTCTTGCAAGAATTGTATCCCAGTTTCAGCAAATTACTCAAGGACATGGCACTTAGTAGGTTGTATTAGAACAATATAGCATTAATATATAAAGTGATTCTTTTTATCTCTGGTATTAAAGGTTTAGACAATTTTTTGCATCAATTATATATCATAAAAGCATATTTTTTTCCTGTGGATTTTTTTTTATTATTTGGGTAACAAAAGGAAAGCATTTGAAGATACTTGATATGTATGCATATTTTTAATACAGACATTTAAACCTGGGTACTACCAAAAGCACTACAGCATTTGTTTTAAGACTAAAGGTGAGCAGTAGGCAGCAGCCTGTTTCACATCTTTTTCCAAACGAAGGCTGAAGTGTGTGAACAAAGAGCTGCAGGAGCCACTAGATGTCCCACGTCTACTGTTGGATAACTGCCCTTTCCTGAATGAACACAGCGTCTTGGCATGCATTGACTTCCCATGCTTTGACAAGAGCACCTTTGTGTCTTATAGATATGAATCATTTTGCAAATGATGAATTGTTTTGGTGACATCTTGTCCAGATTTTCTAAAACAGCTTGTTGGATTAATTATTTTTTTAAGAGTCTGTAGGTTTTTTGCATTGAACTTGCAGGTGGTTTCCTGTATTCAATTTTTTTTCTTACAGACATGGGGCCAAAATTATCTGTTCTCTAGCTTTATTAGAATAAACTGTTCTGTTTCTTCACAAAAGGTTAATTTTGAGCTGTATCATGGAGCAAAGTGAGTAAAAGAGGCACTTTCTAAGAGTTGATAGGATTCTATTTATATAAATGAAATTTGAGAATTTCAATTTTTGCCATTGTAAAATGCATTTTCTCTTTTCTAAGCTTTTGAGCATTAAGGTAAAAATAAATTCTAAATAAAACAAGAAATACTGTAGCTAACACTGCTAAATGAGTAAATAAATAACTTAAAATTACACAGACTTTCCTCAACGTACTTCTTTTTTTAACTGAATTAGTTTGAAAATGGTGCAGATGTTGTTATTGAAGGAGCATATGAATTCTTTCACAAGATTTATATAATGATCTAGAATCAAACCACTATTTTTGGATTCTCTGTGGATTTCCCTAAAAAAATAAAACCAAAACTGTAACTTTGAGTCTTTTGCAGTCAGTGATCAATATCATGGCTCTTAATTCATTTATTAGATTCTCTCTTTACGATTTGTGATTATTTTTTTCTCTGGTTTAAAGCACTCTTACAAGAAAAAGTGTCAATTGTAAATATTTGTGATAAAATTAATACAGATTTTTGAATACAGTTGAGATAGCATGTGCTTGTTTCTGTTCCTGTAGCAATACAATTCTAGTAAGAGATGGAGAGGTTTTTTTCTTGGCACGTGTCGTGGTTTAGCCCCAGTTGGCAGTTGAGCACCATGTGGCCACTCGCTCACCCCTCCCTGCCTGGTGAGATGGGGAGGAGAAGTGGAAGAAAAAGGTAAAACTGTTGGGTTGGGCTAAGGACAGGTTACTGGGACAGCAAAGGGAGAGGAAAATAACAACAGTACTTAGAATATACAAAGCAGGTGATACACAACACAATTTGCTCACCGCATGGAACCTGATGCCTAACATGTCCCCAGCAGCAACCCCTCCTCCCTGGCCTGCTCCCCCCTTATATACTGGGCATGACGTCATATGGTATGGGATATCCCTTTGGTCAGTTTGTGTCAGCTGTCCTGGCTGTGTCCCCTCCCAGCTTCTTGTGAATGTTAACTCTATCCCAGCCGAAAACCGGGACAGCATGGTGCAGGTTATCAGAGGATGTGGTTAAATCGGGTCAATAAAATGTTATTTTGATGCACTGCTGACAATTCTACCTAATACTGAAGTTAGATACAAATTACTCATGCTTTCAGATCCCAGTCTCCTCCCCTAAAGATATAAATGGGGAGGTTGAACTAATGTGGATTTTGGTAGCTCAAGATGATACTCCCTGGCTGAGGTAACTTTGTAATCCAAACTAACGTGCATTTTCTAGGTACTAAAACCCCTGATGTTGCAGCTTATTTGCAGCTTATTTGCAGCCGTCTCTGGAAAGGCAGGTGCCTGTAGGCTGTACCTGAGAGAGCCCGTTTCATCAGAAGCAAACGGAGTACGTGGATATGATTCTCCCACAGCCTTGCCGTGGGTAGGTAAGGTAAGTGATAAAGCAGGTGTCAACAGGCTCTTAAAAGCCTTATTAGTTACTGCGGTTGTGCTTGGAGATGGGTCAATTAATTTGTTACTGCAGGCTGTACAGAGTTAAAGATAAGAAAATCTTGATGGGAGAGGAGTTCTGATTTAAGCAGCAGCTTATTTGGGAAACCAGTTCCTGTGTCGACAGGAAAACATGAGAGAATTCTTTTCAGCATGAGGAGAAGGAAATGAGAGTGTAGTAGAGACAAACGCCATCTGGGCATTGTTTGAAGGAGAAAGGGGTCTGGCTGGGTGGAGGGTGATAGTTGGCTATCGCCAGCCTGAGTCAGAGTAGAGGCAGACTGCAGGAAGGCCCAGGTGGCTGTGTGGCACACGGGGTTAAACCTGTGCTTCAGAATGCCATTATGGCTTGCAGTGGTGAATCATGAAGACATCAATATATTAAGCCTTAACTTTTGCATTTCCTATAAGAATATTTGGCAGTTGTTGCAGGGGCAGGGGGGATCCTTTCTGTGCTCTTCTGGGTGTAATTGCTTGTTGGGATTCCCTTGGAGAGTTTAGTCAAGTGCTATCGCTTGGGTCTAACGCAGGGCTTCAGTCTGTGTTTCTTTCCCATGGTGCGTTGTAGTTCTGGACATTTTCTGTGGATCTTATGCTTTTTTTAGAGCATTGGAAAAATTTGGTTTAATCACAAGCACAAGAGGCTAACATTAGTCATTTTGGTGGTTACTGACAGTAGTGTGTTCCTGTTTGTGATCCAAACTGAAATGAAGAATTTATTCTTGTACAAGTGATGCCACTTCTCCCCAAACCCTGGCGTCTGGCCTCTTCCACTTGGTCTTTTGCTTCCTTTCTGTAGGTTGACATATATCATGCGAATTCATAAAATGTCATGGAATTCAAGGAAGTAATCCTCAGCTGGAAAGCTCTGTGCCACTTATGATCATCTTCAGACAAATCCTTTTGTTCCCCATCCCTAATGAGAATTACTTTGTTCTATACAAATATGGAGGTCAAGAAGATACCTGGGGTTAGAGGTTCTTGCAGGTTAAAAGATATAAAACCATGTTTCAGAGCAGCAGAATTAAGACGATCCAGGAAAACAGGCAAGTGGAGTGGTGGATGACCTGCTGAAATATGACGACTTCTGCTGTGGCACATTCTGTGTACACCTCATTTCTAGAAGGTTCATATAGATAGCTCCCTTTTACCGTGACAGATGGCTGTCATGACTAAAGTTTCTGGGTTGTTTCTGCCTTAATTGCTTTCAGAAACTTCCTGTCTTCCTGGTGAGGAAAAGACATTTCAAAAATTCTCCCATCCCTCGGAAGTAGCCGATTTTACTGGTGCGGATCCTGTCTCCATAGCTGTTTTATTCAAGGTCCTGTGGAACTGCTGCCCAGCTATACCAGCCTGTTACACTGGGGAATAAAAGCAAACTAACCAACCAATTAAGGCCCTGAGATCGTGTGTCAGCTTTTGTGAAGTGCTTTTTTTAAATGGGAGAGAAAAGGGAATAAAGTACCTCAGTATGCCTGGTTCACATATATGGGCAGTTACTACACTTAAGTTTTTATCCTTCACTTGTTTTCATGTCAAAACCTCTAGAAATAAACACACAATCTTTGGAAATCATAAAAAGTTTTGTGGGAAAGATCTTCCTTGTTTGTTGCTCTCGCAATGCTTGGCTCTGGATAGTAAAAGTTTTCTTCCCAGCATTTGCAGATCCCAAGTGTATGTGACTGCCATCAGTAATCTATCCTACAAAACTTAGGGAACTTTGGTACAACTGAGAGAAAGTAACAGAATTAATGGACTCTTTTGTAACAATGAAGTATATCAGCATGTTTCTAGAAAGGATTGTAAAGTGAACAGCAGAACTTTGCACAATACAACGTCTCAGGTAATACGTAATGCTTTTAAACAAGAAATCTGACTTCAAAGATTGCTTCTTCCGTAAATCTTATGGATAGCAGTATTGTCTTCTATATGATATCACCCTGAGACTTCAGTGCTTGGACAAAATAATTTAAGATTAGTTGATAAAAATTCTTTGACAGGAGTGGTTCCATCCTTAGACTTTGTCTTGTCAAAATTTGATAAGCAAATTGGTTTGTTAATCCCTCATACTTTATATACATTTGATTTGCAAGGTCTTAATGAATACTCTTTTTTTCTGGACAAATATCGTTTCAGTATCAGGTAATGTTTTTGTTATCATTAAAGACGTGGTAAATCTCTTTAAAAAAACCCCACAAAACCTCCAAAAAACCCAACAATAGAAAACAAACAAAACCAATCCACCAAAACAAAACAAAAAAACAGGCAAGTGAACTCTTGTTTCGGCAAGATACAGTCAGCTGCTAAGCACTTGTTCTGAAGAGCTCCAGGCTGGCTGCGCTTCATTCTGTGTGGAACGTGAAGAGCAGCTACGGTGTTTCACACGACTCGTTCTGCTGTGGGCAGCAGTGGACATGAGCTGACTCCTAAAGACAGTTAAGAATAGGGTAAGTGGAGCAGCTGCTTCAACCGCTTTCCACTCAGCGGATTTCCAGAGCTTGATTTGGTTTGTCCATTTGGTAAACCCTGAGGGCTGTCTGTTCCAAGTGTGTCTGTCTGACCACCTCTCCATTAACCCCTTGGAAACTACTTGTATCCGCAGCTTCCTTTAACAGGGAGTGCCATGGACCACCTCCCCATTGAGGAAGAGCCAGTTTTCTCTGTTCTGGCTCCTGCTAGCTTCATCTGCAGATTCCTACTTCGTTTGTGGATTGCTGCTTCTGGTACTGGAAGAGACAGCAAAGAGTCATTTCTTACCTTCTGTCTCTGCACTACTCATAAATTCTTCGGGTTTTATGACAGTGCCCCTTTATGAACCCCCAGCTTTAAAACTTTTTAAATCATACAGTTCTTCAGAGCTGTCTTGCTTGTGGTTTATTACAGTAATTTACAGCATGCTTCCAGATAGTCTTTTCAAAAAAAACCCTGTATTTAGTTTCCTGTGGTATGTTTTAACTCTTGGGGGCAATTTGTATCCAAGTTCTGTAAGGAATTCGAAGTTTACAGTATAAAAACATGTGTTGTGTATC